ACATAGCCTGTTGAGGCTCGGTAACTCCAACAGGATACGGCTTCATCAAAACTTCAAAGAAGACGTATTTTCCAATTGTAAGTGATAGGATGAAGTAATGAAGCATGTCCAAACTTTTTAGCAAATCTAGTTTCGGGTCCGAGGCCGCTGGAAGTTGATAGTCGATGCCGATGCTACTCAACTTATGAGTTCTTTCCTCAGTCTTCAGCGTTTCTTTGAACCTATTCCTAAAGTCGCCAGGTTCGGCATAATCAATCCAGGTCTCGATCGCTCGACATATTTTCTGGTAATCTTCTCTAATCGATCCATCGGGCACCTGGTACTCTTTGTGAGCCAGTTCGGCCAGATGTAGCGTTGACGCTTTCAATTCTTTTCTCAACTCTTCATTCTCCTTTCTCAACTCCTCGTTCTTCTCTCTGAGGTCCACCGAATCATCTGAGCCCGAATCGTTCATGTTGAATTATGAATAGGTCGTCCTTCTTTAAAATTGGTGTACGTTATTTACTGTGACTGCCTCAAGCAATTGGAAAATGTTTTTTTTTTGGGGATGCACATTGGGTGACCGTTTCAGCCACATCCATCATGCATAAGATGTTCCGATGGTGACATTTAATCAAACCCTGGTTGGCTGCCTTTTGCACTCGGTCAGAAAATCGGGATAAAAATGTTTATATCAGTATTGCACAAGGTGAAGGGTGGCGTTTTATTCTCACGCAGCATACTCTTTTTGATTGGCTGTGGCGCATGCGGGAAAGGTTACATCAGCACTTTTGAGGGTCTAGCATACAAATAACAACTACCTATGAACTTGGAAATACTACCACGGCTTAAAGCCCCTACTATCGGTGTTACAACAGGGTATGTACTGGTTGTTCAGCTTCCATCAGAGGGTTGCCGCGGAGCCTCATTTCGATGATTTAACAGAAGCTTTGGGAACCATAAGTCCCGGTCCAACAATACCGCCATTTTATCTGTTGTTGAGAAGACCTTTGACTTACTCTTCATCAATATGTCTGACTCGAGCGATAAATTAGAAGTGCTGATTGCAGTTGACTTTGGTAAACAAAATATCGGTGATCGTCGAAGAGTCTAGCTGACGTTAACAGGCACTACATTCTCTGGTCTCTGTTGGGCTCTTAAAGACAAAGTATATACGTCATGGCATTGATATGTGAGGTCTGGCTGATGTTTTGTTTCACAGCCCAAAGACCACAATCTCGTTCAAAACTGGCCTGGAGATGGTGCGAGCCACAACAAGGCTCCCACGTGAGTATCTTTTAGACTTCAAGCCAATCAACACCCGGTCAACATCATGAGCTAATGAGCTTTTCCCAGAATATTGCTTTATAACCCAGAATATCTCTGGGGTCATCAAATTAGAGGAAATGACCCCAGATACGAATGGTTCAAATTGGGTCTTCACCCAAGTGGTGAGGACAAGGGTCTTGCAAAAGATTATCCTAGCACCACCTCTTTGACTGCACATTCGACCGAGGGAAAGGAGGGATTGGTAATCGATTACTTGACGAATTTGAGAAAGCATGCCGAAACAATCATGGCTAATACTTACGGTACCTTTGTATTCCCAAAAATATCGAGGGAATACATCATCACCGTTCCAGCTGTTTGGGATGATAAGGCTCAAGGACGAACTCAAGAATGTGCAAAACAGGCCGGTATGGGTAATCATGTGCAGATTATTACCGAGCCTGAAGCTGCGGGGATCTATGCACTGTCCAATATGCCAACAATTATTTTGGACAAGAATGATACGTTCGTTCTCTGTGATGCTGGTGGTGGGTAAGTCGGCTCCATATTTCTTCTTGCTGGCATAATAGGTGCTAATTGAACACGTGACATTTGAAGGACCGTAGATTTGGTCTCATATACCATCTCAAAACTCCAGCCGGTACCTAGACTTCGCGAAGCTGCCCGGGGTGAAGGAGGACTTTGTGGAAGCATCTTCCTCAACCGAATTTTCGCCAAGCACCTAACTGACAAGTTCGCCAATTATCCAGCATGGGATGAAGAGTACCAAACAGACGCATTAAAATTCTTCGAAGATGACATCAAGAAGAATTTCATGGGAGATGTAAATCAGCATTATTTCGTTCCTGCTCGTGGTTTGAATAAGCCGGAACTGGGTATTCGGCAGAACAAACTTAGACTTTCGGGAGAAGAAATCAAGAACGTTTTCGAGCCCGTCATTCAACAGGTCATCTCACTGGTCAAAACACAGATTCGTAAAACTGCTAGACCTGTCAAGGCTGTTCTTATGGCTGGTGGTTTTGGGTCGAGTGAGTATTTGCGTACGAGAATTCAAGAGGTTGTTGAAACGGGTGTTGAGGTGAGGAAGGTAGCCAATGGGTACGTTAATCTATTCCTGACATGGCTGGTACATCAATAGCTAATCATAAGTAGCGATACGGCGATCGTCAAAGGAGCATTGATCAGTGGGCTTTCGAAGAAGGATCCAGGACATTCGTACGCCATTGGAAATTTCGGAATCGACTCGAGAGTGGCTCGTAGACATTATGGTACCGTTGCATTTAGTACTTTCGTTCCGGGCTTGCATGACGAAAATTTGAAGTGAGCCCAAATCTGTCCTATCTTAAGCTCCCACTAATGACTTTTCAGGGAACCAAGCTCTTACTCAGCTGGTTATGTTGTACCATGTATACAATGGTTCATCCAGAAGGTATGTAATATATTTCAACGACATGGGCGGTTTCTAATTACAATTAAGGACACCAACGTCGAAGATACAAAACCAGTTGTTACACAAAAACCATTCTTTTGGGAGAAACCCGTTTTAGAAGGCAGCCCGACATTTATAGAAGCTAGTATATATGTAAGTGAAATGGACAAGGCACCGTTGCATTTGGACAACACAAGTAAGTATAAACTATTGCGTCCATGAGAAATATTGATCACCTTGCAGATGTTTCCGAGCTCGTCAAAATCCAAGCAGATATTAGCAGCGTTCCGGTAGAAAGCTTTCCAAAGATTGTTGGGGTTGGTTACCAAGCGTTTTACCGCATCCCGTACAATATTGAGATGGCGATTCATTCTGGAAGTATCACTTTCACTTTAGTATATGGTGATCAGCGCTATGAAGCTACCAAGGAATTTTTGTAGAAACATTTTGGATTGATGTAAGCATTTACAATCACTCTATCAAATCAATCTCTTTGCGAATATATTTGCGAATATATTTGCGCGTGATAATGATATTGACTAAATTGTCTAATTGTCCTAGGAATAAATGCCAATTTTTCATTTATTGCGTGCGAAGATGTAGAACAGATATCGAGAATGGGAACGGAGAAACTATCTTTGAGATTTTGTCACTGTGTGATCATTATATTACGAAGATGCACAGACTTGAGGCTTCCATGCTGCTAAGGTGTTACGAGTGTGTAACTTTCTCGACTGAGCTGAAATGTGATAGGTTGTGAGGAATTAGGGCGTTGCCATGATCATGGGCGATAATGATACCTTGGTGTTACCCCTCATGCAAGGCTTTGTCATCTGGCTGACTTGTTTTTGTTTACATCTATCTTTTCAAGTCCTTGAAAAATGTTGTCCATTATTAATGTGATTGATCATTCTTGGGTATCAAATTCAAATCAAAACGGTTTTGCAGTTGTATATACGAAAATTATACAGAATTCCCATTAACGAAACTTCAACACGCTAGAGCCATCGAAACTTGCGATTGATGGTAAGGATTTCTACCAATGTTAGGAAAAGAACCAATCATTTGCCATTGAGGTACTTCTACGGGCCCGTGAGTATAACAATTCCACTTGGAAATTCCGATATCTTTTTAAACCTAACTTCTCTCCACAGATACTCCGTGCTAAACGCATGTCGAATCCTCTCTCGAGTCTTCATAACAAACGGCAACTCGCATTACTTCCTAGCGTACCCGACCGAAGAAACTTTCCTGATCTCGTACAACTACTCCCAAAATGGTGAAAGAAAATGATGCTATCGCCATTATTGTGATTCTTTTAGTTTTCGCAATGATACCTGTCGCGTTTTATACATATAAGCTTTCGAGAAGAAGATTATACTATAGTGAATATTCTTCAACTACAGTTACGGAAGAGGACTCTGCGGATTCTGCGGATTCACCATCGCCGCCGCCGCCGCCACCGGGTATTGGGAGGCCGGTTGTTGGAGGGGGAGGAAGACCTGTTGTGGGGGTTGGAGGGCCGGGAAGACCGGTTGCTGGGGCTGGGGCTGGGGCTAGACCTGGACCTCCTGGACCTGGACTTCCGGTGGTAGGAGGGATGGGTGGATGGTTTGGTGGTGGGAGGCCTATTGCGGGTGGTTCTGGAGCCGGGAGACCTGTTGTCGGCTCTGGGGGAATTGGACGTCCGGTTGTTGGTGATGATTGAGAAATTTAATGCTGGAATTTTATTTGGGATTGAGATATGATACCATGTATTTGTATATATAGCTTTGATCCGGCCTTGTATCTGGTTTGGGGGATTTTTACCGGCATTAAATATGGTGGCTGAATTAAAATGTAGACATGATAATTTTCTATCTCCCAGATAGACGTTGTAAAAATTCATTAGTCTGTGTTCGCAGGCTCATGGTAGCATGTAGTCGTTTCAAACGCCTACAGACTTTAAAAGCCAACCATGAGATACCTTTGATAGAAGCAACCTTGCCTTAAAGATTAATTTTCGTTATCCTGCTACAACTCAAAACGTCTTTTAAAATCTGTTTTCATTTCATAGTTGAGACTCCGATATAGGGCATTCAGATGAAATTAGACAGTTAAGATTGTTTGGTCAAATAAATGGCTGGGTCATCAGTTTCGTGCTCTCGCTTACATTACACATCACACTAGCGGCCGCCTCTCTTAGCCCAGCAAAATTTATCCGAATATCAAAAAAAATTTCACACACCCCACTAATCTAATGATGAATATATTAAAAAACACAAGATGGCTTGTCATCAAATAGTTCATCACTATTCATATGGGTGAGATGGCCGAGTTGGTCTAAGGCGCCAGGTTAAGGTTTATAACTTATCATAAGACTAGTACAACCTCCTGGTCTAGTAATAGGCGTGGGTTCAAATCCCACTCTCATCAAATTCCTTTTGCTGTTTTGGTATATTTTTGGGAATCTATATCTGGAAATTGATCTTTCTGCCTGTTTTAAAAACGACTCTTTTGTATCTGTTGAGATCTCTTTGGGTCTCTTTTTGAGCCAGTTCTCGACCAACACCCTCTATCCACTTATTTTCACGTGGCAAAACGTTCCCGAAACAAGCGTAGGAAAAACGAACGAATCATGAAACCTGGCTTGGGACACTATTATGGTGTTATGACATAGCGCAGTTTTGACATGTGTCACGATTTGGGAGGTTTATATCTTCTAAATAATCATTTGAGAGCCTTTTATTTCCTTGTGTGTTGATTGGAAAGTGAATAAATACTTCACAATCTTTTGTGCAAGATCTTGGTATATACCATGTCGTCGATCTTCAAGTCAATCACACCATGATGGCGAAAGTCCGACGTCATTATAATATATAAATATATATAACGTGGTTTATCATCGAGTGGCCCATATCATCGAGTGGACCACTTTTCCCTCAATTCACACCTTCAACTTCGACACGCGATTTATCAATCATTTATTATGCAATCAAATAATCAAGAAGCTCGAATATTATTAGCTATCGAAGTTATTCATAAAGATAAAAAACTAAGCACTCGAAAGGCTGCTAAGCTCTATAATATCCCTCGTACGACTCTTCGACACAGAATGGATGGTTTAGTGCCTTGTACGGAAACTCGAGCGAATCGTTATAATATTATAGAATTGGAAGAGGAAGTGATTGTTCAATATATACTTGATATGGATAGTAGAGGGTTTCCACTTAAGCTTAAGGGTGTAGAAGATATGGCGAATTATATTCTTCAATCGCGGGGGGCAAAGAAGGTTGGAAAGCTCTGGGCTCATCGATTCGTAAAGCGTCATACAGAATTAAAGACGCGTTTTAGTCGTGTTTATGACTTTCAAAGAGCTCTCTGCGAAGATCCCAAGCTTATCGAAGAGTGGTTTCGTCTAGTTTCGAATATGCGGGCAAAATATAGTATTCTCGACTGCGATTTTTACAACTTCGACGAAACCGGTTTTATGATGGATATAATATGTCCCGGAATGGTTGTAACTAGTGCTGAACGAAATGGCAGAAGCAAGGCAATACAATCAGGCAATAGAGAGTGGGCTACAGCGATTATATGTAGTAATGGGGAGGGTGAAACTATATCCCTATTTCTAATAGTTCAAAAACAGGTTCATCTTTCTAATTGGTATACCGAAACCGATTTTCTGCGGATTGGGCTATTAAACCTATTTCCAATGGATGGACAAACAATGAGACAGGTTTAGAATGGTTGAAACACTTCAATAAGCATACTCTGAGTCGAAGAAAGGGCAAATATCGAATATTGGTGCTAGATGGGCATGAAAGCCATGAATCAGTAGCTTTTCAGTTATACTACAAAGAGAATGATATTATATGTCTAAAGTTACTACTGTATTCAAATCATTTAACTCAACCATTTGATGTTGGCTGTTTTGGTAATCTGAAACGTTCATATGGTACTCAAATTGATGGATTTATCAAGGCATATATCAATCATATTTCAAAGGTTGAATTCTTTATAGTTTTCAAAGCTGTATATCAAGAATCAATTACAATTCAGAATATGAAATCAGGGTTTCGAGGAACAGGTTTAATACCATTTGATCCTGAAACTGTACTCTCGAAACTAGATATTCGAATTCATATGTCTATTCTCCCTCCTTTCGATCTAGACTTATGAATCTCTCAAACCCTTTACAATCCAACTGAAGCTCTTTCACAATCAACTTTAGTAAAATCTCGAATAACTTGTCATCAATCAAGCTCCCCTACATTTATATTCGAAACTGTACTAGCTTTAGCTAAAGGTACAAAAAGATTAGTATATGAAAATACACTTTTAAATGCAGAGATTCGTACACTTCGGAAGGCAAATAAGGTATTAAACAAACGTCGATGTGCGAAAAAAACTCAATTACATTAAGGAGGAGTACTTACTGAACAAGAGGCTATAGATATATTATCTTAGCAAGAGGTTGATATTCAGATTCAATGCGACGAGCGTCAAAATGGGGGAAATCCTAATGGGGAAGCATTTTCTAATAGGTGCTATAGTAAGTGTGGAAAACCAGGTCATAATTCAAGAACTTGTCAAAACAATGTAATAGATCCTAGATTGTTAGATTCTTAATAGTTTTAATCAATTGATTCAATTGTTGTTGAATAATATAGATTTGAAGGTGTGAATTGAGGGAAAAGTGGTCCACTCGATGATATGGGCCACTCGATGATAAACCACGTTATATATATTAGGACCACATATATATATATATTAGGACCACATATATATAACGTGGTTTATCAGCAGTCCGCCCATATCACTAGTCCGCCCACTTTTTGGCCATTTCCAACTCTTCCACTTCAATACGCGTTTTATCAATAATTACTTATGGAAACTCATTCTAAAGAAGTACGAATTATCTTAGTTATTGAAGCTATTAAACTTAATCCACAATTCTCAATTCGGAAAGTGGCAAACCTTTATAATATACCTCGATCTACTTTGAGGGATAGAATTAAAGGTTGTACTAATATGGCTGATTATCGACCAAAAGGTCATAATTTGATCAAATTAGAAGAGGAGGTGCTTATCCAGTATATAATCGATATAGATGAGAGAGGGTTTGTATCTAAATTAAGTGGTGTAGAAGATATGGCGAATTATATTCTCGAATCGTGGGGTGCGAAGAAGGTTGGAAAGCTTTGGGCTCATCGCTTTGTTAAATGATGTTTAGAATTAAAGATGCGTTTTAATTGCGTTTATGATTTTCAAAGAGCTTTTTGCGAAGATCCTAAGCTTATTGAAGAGTGGTTTGGATTGGTATCGAATATGTGGGCGAAATATGGTATTGTCGATTCCGATTTCTACAACTTCGATGAAACCGGCTTTATGATGGGTATAATATGCCCTGGAATGGTTGTAACTAGTATTGAATGATGTAGCAGAAGCAAGGCAATACAATTAAGTAATCGAGAATGGGTTACAGCGATTATATGTGGTAATGAAGAGGGTTGGATTATACTTTCATTCTTGATGATGCAAAGGCAATATCATTTTTCTAATTGGTATACCGAAAGCAGTTTTCCTGCAGATTGGGTTTTTAAACCTACTTCCAATGGATGGACGAATAATGAGATAAATTTAGAATGGTTAAAGCATTTCGATAAACATATTATTCGTCAAAGGAAGGGCAAATATCGAATACTAATATTAAATAGATACGAAAGCCACGAATCAATATCTTTTCAATCATATTGCAAGTCAAATGATATTATATACCTCAGATTACCACCACATTCAAGTCATTTAATTCAATTACTCGATGTTGGGTGTTTTGGCGTACTTAAACGTTCATATGGTTGTCAAATTGAAGGATTTATCAAAGCTCATATTAATCATATCATCAAGATTGAATTCTTTATAGCCTTCAAAGCTGCATATTTACAATCATTTACTATTCAGAATATGAAAGCTGGTTTTCGAGGAGCAGGTCTAATACCATTCGATCCTCAATCTATACTCTCAAAGCTAGATATTAGGATTCGTACTTCTACCCCTCCATCTACCTCCTTGGAACTTACCAATTCCTGGATCTCTCAAACCCCTTACAATCCAACTGAGGCTCTCTTACAATCAACTCTAATAAAAGCTCGAATGGCTCGTCATCAATCAAGCTCTCCTACACCTATATTTGAGACTATGCAAGCTTTAGCTAAAGATACAGAGAGATTGGCATATGAAGTTACATTTTTGAGTACTGAGAATCGTATACTTCGAAGAGCAAATGAAGCATTAAGTAAACGTCGATACATTAAAAAAATTCAACTATGTAATGAAGGAGTACTTATTGGACAAGAAGCTGAAGATATATTATCACAACAAAAAGTTGATAATCAGATTCAACGCGACGAGCGTCAAAATGGGGGAAATTCTAATAGGGAATCATCTACTAGTCGATGCTGTAGTAAGTGCGGAAAGACTGGTCATAATTCAAGAACTTGTCAAAATGATATAATAGATCCTAGATTATTAGATTCTTAATAGTTTGAATCAATTGAATAAGTTATGATTGATTAATTAGAATTTGAAGTGGTTAAATGGTCAAAAAGTGGGCGGACTAGTGATATGGGCGGACTGCTGATAAACCACGTTATATATTAGGACCACATATATATAATAGGACCACATATTATCATGAAACATGCATGAAAGCAGGTACACGTCGTGCGCTACATCAGACGATTCAGGCTATCATTTAAGCTTAAAATGATATCTATAAGAAACATTCTTCTCCGTTTTCTCGTTACAAATTTTCATTTTTGCCTATTATATTAAGCAAACATGTATTTTTCTATCTCTCCATTGACTATCCTTGCCAGTGCGTCATTCTTCATTTCTTCTGTCGCGATGAACATAGAGGTAAATGCATATCACAGTCCCAGTTTGCATGGCCACTAACAATATACCCACCCCTCAAGGCTCGACAAACCCCCGCTTCTCCAGCAAACCCAACTCCCAACCCCACATCCACCACAAAAACTACTCTTAATGCCTCACAATCAGCATCTCAATCATTAGCAATCCAATCTGCACTCGCGTCCTATGCATCCTCTCTCTCCGCAGCCTCCGTCTCGGCAGTTGCTGCTGGTTCTACGGTAGCTTCTCCTGGCTACACGCTCGCTGGTCCTGAAGCTTCGGCCGCTGCTAAAACTGCTGCTGATACTTCTGGATCGGAGAGGGACACAAACGTGATGTGGATAAATCTTGGGCTGGGATTGGTCGTTGGTGGGGTTGGGTTATTATGAAAGGATAATCTCATGGAAATGTTAGAGGCATGAAGGAATTCCGAATCCTAAAATGGTCGGCGAGCCAAGCCTAAAAGAGTTGGAGTTCTTATTTACTTCTGGAGTTTGGGAGTTACATCAAGTCCATCC